GCAAATTTTTATCAGAAAAATGAGGGGATGCACAATTGTTGGAAGAAGCTACAAGCCTTGCTTAGGGGGAACCGTATTTTTTTAATGACTTTAAGGGGGGTATTGAGAATTATTCTGGACATTTCAAATTTTCACCTGCCCCCCCCACTCTGCCATACATTATGAAGCAGGCTTAGTACTTCGTGTAGTCCAAAAAAACCTAAGCTTAAAATTTAGTAGTCTTACATGAAGAAGTAAGGAAGATTTGGCTCATAAAAACATTAACAGCAACAAACTAGCCATAGCAGATGACACAAATAAATAGGAAGAATAGAAAATATTATTTTTATATCATTTTCGCTGTAGAGTGCAAACAATTAACCCGTGAAACACTAATTACTAAATAGTACAAAATAGTGCTAATTAAACAATAGAAAACAATGGAATTTGCATGAAATTGTGTTCTTTAGTATTACTAAAGTTTCAAGGTATATTGTTTGCACTCTACTGCGATTTACCGCGTATTCTATATTATTGGAAATTATTTGCATATTCTTTGTTTCTTCGCGAACAACTTTGCCATTGTAATTCGTTTATAAAACAAAGAACAGCCACCCTGGTGTCTCTCACAGTAAGTCAAGATTATAGGGAACAATACTAGTAATTTTGGTAAAGCAATTATGATAGACGTTTCTTTAAATCACACGCATGAAGTATTTTCATTCGTCTTGGATTTCGAGGACTGTCCACAGTAAATAAAAGAAGGCGAAATTTCACCGACCGTTTGTTTTTGCCTTTTCCCTGAGATTCTGTGCAATATGAAGAGCTTTTGTGTCCCTTTTCTACGTAGTGCTGTAATTATATTCATTTCACTCGTATTAGGATTATCAAACGTTGCTGTGTAGAACGAAAACATTTGGGGAAATTGTTTTGAACGTCAGTTTCTGGCGTTGAAATCGATATAAAATACATACCAGGTTTCAGTGTCGTGTTATGAGTTTTTTTCCAAAGTTGACCCGTTGCCGTATTTAGCATTCGCCTTTCAGCTCGCTCTCCAGCAGATCCAGCGCTAGCTCGGGGTTTTTTCATCCGTTTCCTCCCGAGCTCTGAAATAATATAAGCGACAGTGCTCGCTGTTTGAACACACTGATCAAGTCGACGTCAACTAAAGTCACACATGAGCGATTGGTTCGCTTTCACTTGTGTATGGAAGAGAGTGGTTCAATCCGAACGCCACGATGAAAAATAACACGAATAGCGAGATCCAAGACATGACCGTCAACGCTACAAGCAATATGTATTCGTGCTCGATGTAAGTCATCACAGACGCCAGAAAAGTCGATAGAATATGGCTGCATATAGCTATCAAGCAGATAAACTTCAACTGAACCCAAAACCTCTTCTGAAAATAGTACATAATTAGCCATATCTCGAGCAATAGGTAAGCAGCGATGAACGTTCCTAAAGTCACTACGGCCGCTTCAGCGAAATGTTTTTGTACTGCTACAGTAATGTGAAGGGCAGATGTAGATAAAACGAATAAAGATGTGATTGAAATGCAAATATTCTTTGTTAGGCGAGAAGAACTTTCCTCCATCGATCATGAAAGATATGTTGTACTAAACGATGGTAATTTCAATTCTCGAAACACAAAAATTTGAGGACAAAATCGTAAATTTGAAGGGTTAAGCAGGAGAGTAGAGAGAGGAAAACCCATCAACCTGTGCTGGAGTGRCAGGAGTACACGTTCAAACTCAACACGCTTTCGTTTGGCTTGAAAATTTATTTTATTATCGAGAAAACCAGATGAACATAAACTAGTCAAACGAGTTAGTACTCGTGTATTGTTGATCGGAACCAGTTCGAACCGTGTACACAGACATCTCATATGCAAATTACCGTGCCTGTTCACACAGATAACATACAGCCAGACAAAATTGATTGTGTTCCGATCCGGACAGAATTGATCGGGTTTGTTTCCTAGAAAACCCTAAGATATCTGGTTTTTAGGCATCATTTTTTTCAAAATACACAATTGTAGCTGCGGGATACAAGGTAATAGGGGTGTTTGTATACTAAAATATAAAATATCAAAACAGCTGAAGGCGTTACGCAAATAGTGTTTGATGTGATTGTCAGAATAATTTTTTGTAACACATGCCCTGGCCTTCAATCATCTGAGACCACAAGTCACAGAAGGCTATTCAAAGTGTTTTTGGCTTTCATTTTCATTTAAAAATTCTTACAACTTGGATACAAACCTGTTTTTTGGTATTTAGGCGTGGACAACGGGGTGGGGGTAGGGAGCGGCGCAAAAAGCCATTCTTCGGGGTCCTTTATAAAGAGCGAAAGAATTCAGTTTTTAGCCTACATTTTGGAAACTGATCCCAACATTTATGGATCGGAGCAATCTTCTACTTTGGCGATTTTCACTAAGTTCTAATGAAATTATAAACAAACTCAAGCTCCTATTGCCCTCATCTTTGCGTGATTTTTTCTTGCCTTCCCTCTGACCACATTGTTCAGGTTATGAAACACGTAGGTGTGAAGAACGGCTGCTAAAGAGTCGAATTTTTCTTTACTAAAACCATATGCAAGACAAAACTAGATCTATCGTCTAAAAACTTGATTTAAGGTAAATGAAAAAAGCGATATAGTAAGATATTGGTGCAAATGCATTGATTCTACCTGGGGGAAAAAAGACTATATATCTTTACCACAGTGAACCGTTTTTGTTTTTTGTTTTTACCACAGCGAAAGCAGATTACATCAACAATACATTTACATACCGAACAAAGACACTATATTACCACTTGAATTATTATAGCAAATTAACGCTTCACCTATTTAACGTGAATTTTTGAAATTCGCGTTATCCTCCGGGTCTATCTCACTGTGCTACCATTCCTTTAATTGATCCCTACGTTTAGAGGATATTTACCGACTTTAGGTTACCTAATATCATGTTAGTCGTATGTTATGCCACGTCAAAGACCGACTTTGCAGCTGTTAATAAAGTTGTTTTGATTTGTTGTTTGGCTCGATCGCGTTAATTTCCTTCCTTTAAAAATCGTTAGCCCCTTTTCGCGTTGATTTCCTTCATTTGAGAGCATTTTCCCCTCTGAATTGCGTTAATTTAAAGTCTAGTGAATTTAAATTATGTCCAAGCGTTAATTTCCTATAATAAGGTATACTCAAACTATCTGAATGAAAACATTCTTGTCAGGGAACAAGAGAATATGAAGTAATAATAATCTCTTGCAGGAAAACACTGCATTACTACGCCACAAAACTTCAAAAATACTTTTTTAAAAATATACAACAAAAATCAGTGGTAATAACGAGTGAATTACACCCTGCAGAATGAAAACATTCCCATCAGGAAATAGAAGATACTAGAGATTTTTGCAATACGGATTTTTTCAATACATGGTGACTGGATCGGATAAATACATATTGGGATCACACGGAAGTAGAGTATTTATAGGTGCTACGTCTTAATTCAAAGGGTTTTCCTGGCTTGGTTCTCCGGTGAGGGGTGCTAGCACATGTGACGAAAAATCGAAAACATTTGTAGTCCACATATGAAAATCGAAAATATTTGCCGTCCACATATACTCCCCCTCTAAATTTCCACCAAATTCGATCTGTGAATTAGCTGTGTTCTGCCATTGAATAAAAGTTGTTAGAAATACTATAAATACTATAAATGACTAGATAACTACGAAAAAGGAGTTTAACAAACGCCTTCTCAAAATTGATCGAAATCGCTTGCTACAATCGCCTCAGTTGTAAAACAAAGCTTCACAATCGACGTCATTTAAACAAGCTTTTAGCTTTTCATTTATTGTTACATTATAATTTAGTATAAAATAAAGTGACTCTCTCTATTAGTGATATCGTTGTGTTGTATCTAATCGCTTTGTTTACTTTTACAAAGAACACGCGCACATAGTTTTCTTCCATCACTGTTCTTCAGGCTACATATACCTAGGATCACATCCGGTGTGCAACACACTACGGGAGTTAACTCCAGAAGATTTTCAGTCTGAAACCAAAAACACGAACCAATTTAAGCAAAATAAAGCTTGCAAAGGTTATTACGAAGGTTTTACCAGGAATGTAAGAAAAAAGGAGGGGTGGCTTACTGAGAATAAAACTGAGAACTAAGCAAAAGGGGGGTGGCTAGCCGACCCCCTTCACCACCCCTGGAGGGAGGCTGACGACCTATGTAGTTATAAAACCACAACAGGGTGATGAAGGAGGCTGGGGGGGGGGAATGGATCGATACCAGATCAGAAGTGCAGCATTTTCAATATCATAAAAAAGGGATTCGATTTGTAAAAATTCTACCAGGTTATCAGATTATAGAAAAGACACACTTTTTTCTTCATCTGCGTCGCATATTTTGAGGCGATTGGTTTATACCAAATCAGGAGTGTGACAGTATTTTCAATAAAATGATCAATGAGTCGATTCGTTAAAAAAAACGATTCAGTAGTCATCATATAGAAAAAACTCACTTGCTTCTTCATCTGTATCGCATATCGTGAAAATTGCTTATTGACATTGTTTCAGGGTGGTAAAATGACTAATGGCTAAGCTGGAATTCGTGTTAAGTATTCAAAATAAAATGTATTCAAATAACGGGATGGACTATGAAATGCAAGTGAGTGTTGTTTGATTGCATGTGATCTATCGTAGTTCCCACACGCCGTTAAGTGAGAGCCTGACGAAAGGTAGTGGCAAAATAATGAAGATGYGTTCTTCTCAAAATCAAAGATTCAGATGTTAAGTAGTTAGGCTTCACAAGGTATTAAGTAAGGAAAGGTATAATCATAGCAACGGTTACCGTAACAGTAATAGCAATAAACTTCATTAAGGCCTCCCACAAGTTATAGAAGGTTTACTGGGTAGCAACAATTGGGATGGGTCAAGTTCTCTGTTTGCAGCGTTACAGGCCGCCAAAGCATCACGTGGGAGAGGAAGGGAGGGAGAGGAAGGAAGGGAGGGAGAGGAAGGGAGGGAGGGAGGGAGGGTAAACGCCCTGATAGATACGCAACCATGATATAATGAGTGTCTAAAAACAATTCCTTACCAGTTCAGTGGGTAAACAGGCCAGGACGGAACCTGAAGTTGGACTGTTACATTGTGCAGCTTGTTGTAGAAAGTTCTTCAGGACAGATGCTACTGGACCGACCTTGTTATCATCAACGACCGAAACAAGCTCCTCACAGAGCCAGACTATTTTTGATGCAGAGAGAATGAAATCAAACGAAGTGAGTGAGATATTATAATATGGTACGAATACAATAGACCCTTTTCGAGTTCCAAATTACCACTGTGTTTCTTGATAACAGACTCATTTACTCAGGCTTAGCCTCGATTTTGTGAAGAATATTCACGTGTTCCAGTCAAGGTCCGTCAAGTTTCAAAGTGTTCGTATTGTTGAACTTGTGCATTCTTTACTTTACCGTTGGTATTTGCGAGTAATTAGACACTGATTCGAGGCTTAGTCTGAGCAAATGAGTCTGTAATCAAGAAACACAGCGGTAATTTGGAACTCGAAAAGAGTCTATTGACTATTAAAAAGACAGCGCACGCATTAGCCATTCCGAGGTCGAGGAGAAAACTGGGTCCAGTTGGCATTGCAACTGATTTAGTGGACAAAATAGAGGCCATCATAAAGATGAGTCCCCTATGAAAGCCAGATTTAGTCCAAGCAAAAGGGCCACCCCGCCTTATGTAGAAGAAGCCTAAAAAGCTACAGAGAACATTTCATTTGAGATGTGAGTAGGTTGACCGTGACTGTGACGCCCATTTATCTCTAAGCTCTGATTGGCCGAAATCTACGCGTACAAAGAATTAAGCCATCTCATAAAATAAATATCATACTCACCAAGAGCATTTTGTATGTGAGACTGCGTCGTAAAAGATCTTAAATCTTGTCTTGTCTCTGTCTTATATTTCACTGAGCTAAAAATGAAACCGTCGAGTTTCAGAAATAGTAGACTACAAGTATGCTCATTCTATGCTCATTCCTCTACCTTGTAGAAGGATTTTTGATCACTCACCTTCCTTGCTCGTCTGCTTGTCGTTGTTGCTGTTCATTGTTGTGGCCCTGTTCGCACAAGAGACCAAAATTGACTGCGTGTGCTGCAAGACGAGCTAATCCCCAGCCCTGTAAACGTATCACAGAAACAAGATCAATCTCAGATGTTAATGAATACACAAGCATACCCTTACTCCCACAAGAGCACATGAAATGATTTCCTCTAGCCTTCAAATGACATTGTAGCTTGAAACAACCTCTGGGCTCATCAGAGTAATGGTAGCTCTACGCTGACTTGCCAAAACTTACCCAAAGCGAAACAGAACCTCGGGTGCCCAGGGTAGGCTTGCTTTCTCACAGGTTTAATAGAGGTTTTGCACCATCACGTGTCGGCGTCAATAATAAAGCTTGGGCTGCCTGTGGTTAGATGGCAGAACAATAAAATCCCTTTGCTCTCGAGAATTCTTTCTCACGTAAAACGAATGTATTGTTCCTGCCATCTAACATGGCTGCCGTCACGTGGTGGTGCAAAACCTCTATTGGAATTTAACGTCTTTTGCGGAGGTCAGATAACTAAAAAACCCAGAGAAAAAAACCTTCAAATCAAGGGAGAAACCAAACAAACTCTACTGACATGTGATGCTGAGTCCAGAAATCGAACTCAAAACCCCAGAGGTGAAATAAAAGACGAGTGCACTAACACAACATTACTCTTAATTTCCTCCAAAAAGTGGAGAAGAAACGTTTATTTGGATTACCTTTGGATCCTGAAGAATGTGGTTAGCGTTGCCATGGTGAAGATAAAGAGGAATAGCACGTCTAATTAGGACTGGGACCAGGAGTTTAGTGTCGAGTAACATTAGACAACTTGCACTGTCAGCTAAAAAACAAAAGCGGTAAACAAAACCTTCCTTGGTACAACTGACACACAGAAGTGCAGGGTGGGGTAGGGTGGGGTAGGGGGAGCTGTGCATACAATACACATTTAGATCCCTGGATTGTATTTAAGAACGCCGCAGCAAGAAGATAACAAAAGAATACCGGCATAAAACAAAAGTTTAACTAACCYGCATTTGCAATGTCTTCCTGTCGGTTGAACTTGAGTAACTCCTAGATCAACAAAATGGCAGCCGGCAATATCGTTAGTGTACACAAGCTTGGTATGGTGACTATTAGTAGCTAAACACCTTATAAACTGTTATTAGAATAAAGCTACTAATGGGATGGATCGCAAAATCCTGTGCTCTGATTGGCTGCTAGGGAATAGACCACTAGTAGCAAAAAGTAGCGGTTTTGGAAACCAAAACAGCTTAAAAATATATTATTTCAAATTCATTACAACATTGTTTGTGTTCATTTATTTGACTCATTAGTAGGTTTATACTAAAATACTTCGACCTCTCGCCCTCAAACTCAATATAGCTTTCAGCCTCATGGGCTACTGACTCGTAGACCATTCGGCCTGCAGGTCGAATTGTTTAACATACATGAAGTCAATACCATGAGTGTTATCACTAGATACCTTAATTATCGTAGAACAAAACCATTCAGCTCCGCCCAGAATTAAAAGTTGTTTAAATTTCCGTAGGGTTTTGCTGGATATATTTTTCTGTTTGATGACATCGTTAAATAGTTGACACATTTTCTGAAGAAAACAATGAACGGTTAACATTAATAAAACGACAGTCTTACGAGAAGGAAAAAATGAGCAAATTCGTAATCATAACTAGAGCTATTGGTGAGTTGCAAGCATTCCCAAGAGAGCTAAAAGACAAAAGCATGGCGGCCATGTTGGTGCCGTTAACAATGGATGCTAATAAGAAATCTTTTGTTAAATGGCACCAACGCTCTCCCGAGAGGCCGCGATGACGTAACGTGAAATGGAAGAATAGGCGTAGATACCTTCGAGGGCTATCTTTGATTGTTAATCACTTACTTCAGTTATTGTTTCGTTGATAGGTGCTGGTTGATCGCTGCTTTGTATATAATCTGTGATGATACAAACGAAAAACATTTTACTTCTGACTTTCGTAAATACCGATTTTTTTTGTAATAACGGGACTCAACTGTTATTCTAAGGGGTCGTTCATT